GAGGGTCAAGGCTTCCCTGAATGTTCCCAGCACCCTCCTAGAAGGAACGAGGGCTCGTTTCCGGGTGTGTCAATTACCAAGGTGCTCTCCATGGCCCCTGTGGACCTTGTCAAAGCGTCGACGGTTCTATGTAGGAAACCCGTGCTGACCACAGGGTTCCGTGGGGAAGGAAGTCAGAGGAGAGGGGCTGGGAGGAGGGTCCAGACCTGCCGCGTGGGGACCCTGAGGACGGGGCTCAGCAGTGGACACAGGAACAGCCCCAGAGCCGCTGCCTTCATGGACCTGCAGGACCCGCCCCTCACCCAGAGCAGTGCTCTTGCCACAGCCTGTCCTGAGGAAGTCACGGGACCCTCGCACCAATTCAGATGATGATGGCAGACCCTTAGGTCTTGTTTGCCGGTCCCGGAATCTTGCATCTGGGCCACAGGGGGCCTGAGCCCCATCTTCCCCAATATAGCCAGAATGCTGGCCAGTATTCCTTCCAGCGAGGGCACCTCCAAGCTAGTGCTCCATGGAATTCATCTGTACCAGTCAGTGGTTGTCAAACTCATTAGTCAACAGAGCCAAATATCAATAGCACAAGGATTGAAATTTCTTTTGAGCCAAATTTTTAAATCTAACACCACTTCTTCAAAATAGACTTGCCCAGGCCATGGTATTTTGTGGAAGAGCCACACTCAAGGGGCCAAAGAGCTGCATGTGGCTCTCGAGCCACAGTTTGCTGACCACGGATCTGTACCATACATCATTTATAATCTATTATCTATTCTCTATCATTTATCCACCTATCAGTCATCTGTGTGTTATTCATCACCTATCATCTACCCATCCATAACTGGCCTGGCAAAACCCAAGGTGCTGCCTGTGCCCCCACCTGCAGGTCTGGTGAGAGCTCGAGACGCCTGAGAACAGTACAGGCCCTTCCCCAGGCTCTGGCTGACCTTGGTCCAGTGCCATCCCACAAACGAAGGCACCAGCTAAGACCATCCATGCTGACATGGCACTGGCTGGCCCAGGCCCACAGTAGAGCCACCACAAAGGAGATGTTTGGGTCCAGGGGAGATGTGTTCAATCTCTACGCACACAATTTCAAACCAAGTTTTGAGCTACAGTTTTTGTATTGATTCCCTTCTAGTTTTCTGAACAAATTAGTATGTAATTTTTTATTTTTTCTAAGTGTGGCTGACCCTTTTGGATTTATGAGGCCGTGTGAGAGGGATTATGTATTTTACACACATGCATTTGGCACAGCAATAAATCTCCCACATGGAAGCCCTGCAAGTCTGTCTCCGGTCCCACAGTCTCCCGTCTGGTGGCCGCTGTCATGGCCGTGGCCGTGCTCACTGCTGGAACCAGGGCCCCTGAGGTGACCTCCTTGTGTGGCCGGCAGCCTCGCCATCATCTCTCGGCTGTGGCCCGTGCCCTTGAAGTGGGGCTGCTGAGGGGACTTGTGAGAACGCTGGCCCTCCTCCGAGGACAGTGGCGTCGGGGAGGCGGCTGTAACATGACTGGCTGGAGGACTGTGTTCCCGGAGGTGGAAGAAGGTTTAATCCCAGCCACGTGACGCATGGGCAGAGGGCGCAGCCTCCAGATGTACTGACCCTTCACTGGCAGGATTCTCCCGTCCAGGCCTCAGCGTGCTCGCCTGGCTCTGCTCCCCAGGAACCTCTTGGGCCAATAAATCTTGATACCTGCCTCCGGAGAAGTCATTATCTTTCATAGAAAATGATTATTTCTCCGTTAAACCCCACATTTAATTTTCCCGTCATCTGTCTCTCTCAGCTTCTCCGGGTAATGGTCCCTCCTCCACAAAACACCTTAGGGACTCCGAGTCCCAGGCCACGTGACCAGCTTATGAGGCGCTTTCATTTCTCACCTGCATGACCCTCTCAGCCTCTCACATAAACACAGTGAGGCCACGGGTGCATCCAGAGGGGTGTGCCACACTCATTTGGCATCCACTTACCGGGTGACTTCCTGTGTCCAGGGGTCTGGCCTCCGCGAGCTGGTCCCCGCAGGCCAGGTCCTGCATTACCGGGGGCAGACTGTCTGGCTGGTGCCCAAACAAAACCAGGCCCAGCTAGTCTGCGCTGGTCCACCCTGGCTCCCAGACAGCTCTGAGGCCCCAGAACAATGCCCGCCACTCCTGTCCACATGGTCCTCGGTCGACCTCCCACACCGTACCATTAAACACCAAACTCCTTGGCAGACGTGCTTTGCCCCAGCAAGGCCCTTCCTCGTGCCCGTGAGCACAGCTCGGAAAAGGCCAGCGGAGTTTGAAAAACTTGACCGCAGACTTGGGGACAGGACGAGATCTCTATCTCTCTCTCTCTCTCTCTCTCTCTCTCACACACCTGGCAACCTTGTGTGGGAACCCCAACCAGCCCAACTTACTAGTACCCTCTGAGCTCCAGACTCATGGCCCACCTGTGGCCTGGCACCTCCTTCAGATGTTGAAAAGGTCTCAAAAATTCAGTGATCCAAAACAAACTCTTGATTTACACTCTGACCCACAAAATTGCTCTCCCGCCCTCCCCTACGTCTTTCTTCTCAGCCAAGACCAACCAGCCAAAGTCCTGCAGGCGATGTGACTCTTTGTCCTCAATCAAGTCAGTGATTCACCACGTGCCCTACCCTCCAATCATGCCCAAAGTAGGACCCTCCGGGCCAGCACCACACCCCACCTCTTGGAGGGCTGTGACGGTCTCACAGGTCTCCTGATGCCTCTCTTGTTCTCACCGGGCAGCTAGAACTGCATTCCAGCTCAACACCCTCCCATGAGCACCATCACATACAGAGTCAAGGCCCTGATCCAGCATCTGCCTAGGGAGCTTCAGGGTGGTCCTGCCTTAGCTGCTTCCCAGTCCTCTCTCGGCCCTCTGGCTCCCTCTGCTCCAGCCACACTGGCCTCCTTTCAGCTCTTCTAATGTTCCTGCCTCAGGGCCTTTGCACATACAGTTCCTCTGCCTGGGCTGCTGGCCTCTTTCCCTACCTCCTGTGAGAGGCCTCCCCAGCTCCCCCGCCCCACCAGCTTCACTGCCTTTTATAGCACTTATTTCACCATCTCATCTCACGTGGCTCCACTTTGTCTCCGGGCTCAGCAGGGAGCAGAAGCCCAGTAACCATGAGTGAAGAAAGGTATTCTAAGAGTCAGATTCTCTATTTAATGTCAAGGTCAAAGTGGCAGACCCTCTAAAGCCCAGGCAGGGCCACCAGATAAAACACAGGACATCCAGTGCCATGGGACTTAGAGTGATGCGCTGTTTATCTAAAATCCACATAACTGGCTGAAGCTGGTTTGGTTCAGTGGTGGAGCGTCAGTCTGCGGACTGAAAGGTCCCAGGTTCGATTCCGGTCAAGGGCATGTACCTTGGTTTCGGGCACATCCCCGGTAGGGGGTGTGCAGGAGGCAGCTGGTCGATGTTTCTCTTTCATCGACGTTTCTAGCTCTCTATCTCTCTCCCTTCCTCTCTGTAAAAAAATCAATAAAATATATTTAAAATAAATAAATAAATAAACAAACAAACAAACAAAATAAAATCCACATAACTGGCCTAGCTAGTGTGGCTCAGTAGTTGAGAAACCTATTCTGGGTGAGAAAAAGGCCACATGCTAGCCTGACTAGCTCAGGGAAGACCTGCATGGCAGTTCTGCAAACTCAAACACCTAAAGTAACCACAAAGGATTTTCTGAAATTAAAACTTTAACTAGAAGCAGTTTATAGGGGGTAGTATCTTCCCTGACAAGGTCAATCTTGACGTTAACTGAGCCTATTGTGTTTGTTTGTTTGTTTATTTGTTTTTTGTTTGTTTTTTTTGCATCTAAGATAACATGCCTGTGAAATGTCAGGGTAACTTGTAACTTTCCTTTTCCCGGACCCCTCAGGGAAAAACCAAAGTGCCTGGGCGCCAGGATAGGACCATAAATTTCGTCAATGTTATTGTTACCACGTTAATTGTTGTTTTTTTTAAATATATTTTATTGATTTTTTACAGAGAGAAAGGGAGAGGGATCAAGAATCATCAATCAGCTGCCTCTTGCAGCTGATGTTCCTGCCTCAGGGCCTTTGCACATACAGTTCCTCTGCCTGGAACCAGTACCCTCTGAGCTCCAGACTCATGGCCCACCTGTGGCCTGGCACCTCCCTCAGATGTTGAAAAGGTCTCAAAAATTCAGTGATCTAGAGATGTGCCTGCAACCAGGTACATGCCCTTGACCGGAATCGAACCCGGGACCTTTCAGTCCGCAGACTGATACTCTATCCACTGAGCCAAACCGGTTTCCGCGTTACCAGGTTAATTGTTGACTGTAAACTAACCTACACCCACCAGGGTAAAAAAGCCTGTGCCTATCCTTTCACTCTTTATCCAGTCCCAGAGTTTTCCCCCACTTTGCTTTCTCCAACTTCCCGATCTATCACCAATGGATTTCATGTAACCCACTTCCTTTGATTGTAATGCATAAAACAGGGTGAAAAACTGCCATTCTCCGGAGCATTATCCCAATACGTTGAGATTCTGCTGTCCTGCAATTGTCAGCAGTTTGGCTCAAATAAACTCTTTACAGGTTTGAACGATTTTAAGTTAACACTGTAAACCAGGAGTCACAGTTCCATCCTCCATCAAGGCACATGCCAAGGATGCAGGCTCCCTCCCCAGCAGGGGGCGTGCAGGAGGCAGTCGATCATTGATGTTTCTATCTCGCTGACTGAAATCAATAAAAATATATATTTTTTAAAAAGTATACTTTTAAAAATAAATATTTTTTTAAATTTTCACAAAACTGGGAGTCCTAGATTTTCGTTTGCTAGATCTCGCGAATCTCTGTCTCCGCGGAGGAGGCCGGGGCGGCGGGGACGTGGCCTTGGGAGGCGGGGCGTGGCCTTGAAGGACGCCTGGGAGGCGGGGCTTCAGGCGGCGCCTGGTGCTCGGAGGCGGGGCCTTGCTCACGTGACGGCGGTTGCCAGGGTGAAAGGTCAGGCGCGCCGAGCCACTTCAAACATGGCGGCGGCCGGGGCGCGCAGCCCGGGCGCCCCGAAGGGGACGGCGGCCCGAGCCCGGCGCCCGCCCTGGGCGCGGCTGCCCCCGCTGCTGGTCCTGCTGGCGGCGGCGGCGGCGGGCCCGGGCCCGGGCGGCGCGGCGCTGTACCGCGCGGGCGAGGACGCCGTGTGGGTGCTGGACAGCGGCAGCGTGCGCGCCGCCACGGCCAACAGCTCGGCCGCGTGGCTGGTGCAGTTCTACTCGTCGTGGTGCGGCCACTGCATCGGCTACGCGCCCACCTGGCGGGCTCTCGCCGGGGACGTGCGAGGTGAGGCGCCCGGGCGGCCGGCCCTGCGGCGGGGACGCGCCCCGGCTCGCGGGGGCCGCCACGCCCTTCCCCGCGGGCCTGCGAGGAAGACGGGACCTTCCCCGCCTCACCCCGCAGGTGGGGGCCGGCGGCCTCCGCGTCTCCCGGCTCCCCGCGCTGGTCTGGGGTCCCAGCGCTTCCTCGACCCCCGGCCTTGGTCCCCGGGTGTCCTGCCTCGGACCCACCCCCTCAGGCGTCGCTCACGGCCGAGAGTCCCCGATCTGGGAGGGTCCGCAAGCAGGTCGGCCCGCAGCCGCTTTCCCTTTAAATGCTGCTTCCTCCTCCCGGTTTGGGGGCCGCCCACATGGACGCTCAGAGTGAGCCCCCACCTTGGGCACCCCAACACGGTGGTGTAGACGCAGGAGAAGTCCTTCCCAGCCTTCCACCGGGAGGCTCCTGTCCAGACCCGCGGCCTCGGGCACCTGCCGTCCAGGCCCCGCCCCGTGCGGAGTCTGTGGTTGCAGGTTCCGCTCTGATCTTGATGCCCGGAGTTCCTCATCTCCTCGATGGCGCCTGGGGTGGCCGGCGGGGTGCTGGCCCCGCGTTGAGAGGAGTACAAAGTGCTCCGAGGCGGGGCCGGCCCCGCAGGCGCCGCGCTCACCTGCCATCACGTTCCAAGACGGGACACGTGGCCGTGGCCCCTTCCTGCCCTCGCTGTGTGACGTTCTCAGGTCTAAGTCGATTCACAGAGAAACTTGAAAGAAGCATCACTAGGGTCTTTGTGGGTAATGTGAACCGTTGTCTTTCAGGTGCTTTCTCCTCTTAACGCAGGGTGTTGGGACCTTGGGATTCTAAAGGGTTTGTTCTCTGATCTAATGTTTTAACTCCCTCGTGTTCTGCACTGGTCACAGCTGAGGCAGAGCGTTCCTTAACAGGGCGGGTTTGTTTTTTAAAGCCTTTTCTTTGAGAACAAACAAGCATGTCAAAAATGTGGAGAGTTTTTAATTAAGTTCTCACTTGTTATTTGGTTACAGAGACAGATATATCAATTAAAATGCAGGTAGCTCTGGTAAGACATTTATCACCTATTTTTTGCATGTTTTTATTTTCAGTTTAGTTTCTAGAATACAAAAGTCGTAAACTATGATTAAAATATTGCAAACTACTCCGTTGAACCAGCAGGTAAGGAGCCTTGAAAATTGTCCCTGGAACTTGGTGGGTTACTTCTGAAAGTGAAACAACACATCCATCCGAGTGGCGTGATTAACCATTAGCCAAATAAGGCTATCTGAAAAGGGCTGGACCCTGTCCAAGTCCTGGCTGGAAAAATGGGCTTGAGTCGGGAGGCAGAGACAGCTAAAAGTTAAAGACCACTGTGACCCACAGGGCGAGAAGGGAAGGTCTGTGGGGGCCTAGGCAGAGGGTCCCAAGAGCCAAGCTGCCAGCTCTGACAGGGTCCCCTGGGACTTGATAGGAGTGCACGGTGTCAGCCCAGCCCAGGCCCGTGGGTCAGACGCTCAGCGTGAGGCCCAGCGTCTGTGAGCACAAGCCGGAGTCAGGGTCACGTTCCCAGGGACGTGAGGCAAGGAAGGGCCCATGGCCAAGGAGACCAGAACGTGGCGGTGGCTCCCCTCGTGATGACACACCCTCCAGTTCCTCAGCTGAGGAGTCATTAACTCTGACCCTGTGCCCCCTGTGACTGACCTGCCGCAGGCCCCTCTGTGCCTCATTTCAGCATTGGGGATGTGTTGGGGAGAAGGGCCTTCACCCTCTGCTCCCGTGCTGTGCTTCCCGGGCCCCTCCGTCCAGCCTGTTAACATTGGAAGTTCCTCGCAGTAACTGGAGATCTGATTGGCTTTATGACCTGCCTCATGGACCCGGAGCACCCCGTTGGGGTATGCCGAATGAAGGCTTCATAGGCAGAAGGTAAAAATCATTTCAGGCAAGGACACCTTCCCCAGGGGAAGGGGGGCCTGTCGGGCAGATGATGATCACCCGGTTGGATCAGGAGGGGCAGACAATTACAGCTGCACCCTGTGAGCCTGCACTGCGCTGCAGAAAAAAATAAGGTGACGACAAACAAAGGTCAGCATTTGGGAGTAGCCAGTGTCACTGGGCTGTTGTATAGATTTGGCTCAGGCTGTCCACGTCCCGCTATTCCTGAAAACCCTTCGCCTGGAGCTGTGGTTTAGCTCCGCTTGTCTGCTCCTGAAGAGGGAAATGCCTATGCCTGGGGCAGCCCACACCCAGGAGCCTCTGAAATGTCTGTGGAGACTGGGCACTGTGTCCTTGGTATCTGTTCTCGCTTCAGGGAAGGTGGGCAGGTTTCCCATAACTGGCCCTGGAATTGTGGAGGAGAGACTGGAGGGGGCTGGACCTGGCGCCGTGGCCACTGCACACACCTTGTCTTCCCTGTCCCATTGTGAGACTGAGTCACCCACTAGTGGTCACACAGCTGGGTGACAGGTTACACCGCTCCAGAGCCGACTGGCTCACTCCCTGGGTCTGCAAAGAATGGGGGCGGAGGGGCCCTGAGCCCTGCCCCCTCTGAGCTCTCCATGACCTGGACTTGGCTTCTGTGTGGCGAGGCTGCAGCCTTCTTGGTGATGAGCTGGGGCACCAGTGTCTGTTCACCGGAAGAAGGAAGGAATGGGCCTGGGAAGATGGGGTGCTGGTGGCAGTGGGAATCATCTACAGGGATGGTGGGTTAGAGCCCAGGAGGTCTGTGGATGGTCTCAGAGGCTGCAGGGGAGGCTAGAGACAGGCAGTGGGGGCCTCTTCCCGTTGTGGGCCCAGGTGCCCCCTGTGAGATGCAGCCTCATTACACCTGCAATGGGAGGAAGCCAGGTCGTAAACACTGCTTCCCATCTCACATGTTGTGATGCTTGAGGCCTGGAGGACCCCATACAGCCTGAGTTGAACCTCGCTGAGCCCTGGGCTTGGTGAGGCTCAGAGACATGCCTGCACTCTGCACACAGCTTCTGTGTAACCGGGACTGCGCTGCTCTGTGGTGTGGGGCTGAATTTCCACCTGTCCGTGTGTGGCTTGAACTTGGAGTTTATCCAGGAAGGGCCCTGCACCAGGTGGGAGAATTGCTTCCCATGGCTGGATCGTGGTGTTAGGAACCCCTATGCGACCTTGACTGCACGAGGGTGGAGAAGCCAGAACTGGGTGCTGCGCCTTGGAAACAAGTCCTTTAAACCTCAGAGCTCCCACGCTGTCCTGTCGTCATCCAGACCCACTGATGCGCGGCCAGAATAGACTTCCACAGGCCTTTCCTTAGGATTTGACAAGTAATAGTAAAAGGTTTAATTCTGGTAGGGTAAGCTGTATGGTTATTGGACACTAAACGTGAAATAAGTTTTAGTCTGCTGTATCTGGAGACGTAACTGTTTCACACGCGTTTTTTTAAGCCTGTGTCCTTAAAAAAGGCTGTGGCCACTGCTGGTGGCTCCCCTGGTGGCAGCCTCAGAGCCTCCGCCGGCATGCATGTCGCTGGGGAAGCTGAAACCAGACGCTGTGCTTTCGGGGCACAGTGGTGTCTTCGTTGTGTGGGGGACCCAGACAGGCAGGTGGGCAGGAGGAGGGGAGGAGCCCAGCTGAATGGGGCAGAGACACTGAAGCAGCCCTTTGAAATGGCTTGCATTTTATTTGGGAACAGAGAGTGTCTCTTTTGTCTTCCCTGAATGTGCCCATCTGCCCGGAGACTTGCAGGGACAGTAACTGAAATCCTCCCTGTCTGTGTTGGGTGGCCTCCCACAGACGGCCTTCTTTCAAAGACAGACAAAGGCCTGTGAGGGTCGGCGTGCCCCTCCACCGGACGGCAGCCGGCTCCAGGGGATGTGTGTATGTGGAGTGGCAGTTACAGGCGGACTTGTGGATTCTCGGGGGTCCTAGAAGCCAGGCCCCCACCGTCCTGTCCCTGCTGGTGTGCTCCAGCAAGCTCCTGTGAGATGGATGTCTGCTCTGCAGGCATTCACGACCATGTCCCCAGTGCTCCCTGCGCTCAGGTCTTTGCTTTCAGACACACCTGAAGCGGGTGTGGGATGGGCTCTCTATGGAGCCCGTGTTTCCCCAGGATTGCGCATATCAGGTGTGCAAATGGAGAGCCTCGGAGGCAGAATAAGCACTTGGTTACATTCTTGTGGAAAATGAGGTTTTCATTTTTATGCCTCCAGCCCAGTGCCTGCATCAGAGGGGGGTCTGCCTCCTGCACACTGGAAGGCCCAGCAGCTGGAGGCTGGAAACCAGGCTGGTGCCTATAGTCTGTGTGGCCCCCACCTTCCCTGCAGAGTGGCCTCTGCTGCCCCCACCATGGGAAGGTAGCTTGGTCCCCACTTCTGGGAGCAGGATGGGCACAGGGTGCAGAGGCAGAGGATCAGGAGCCTCTGGGTTGCATTTTGGGAGGGATGCCTGGGACAGCCAATGGAGATGGCAAGTAGGAGGGGCGCAGGGGGAGAGGGCAGGAGTTGCTATGCAAGGGTCAGCCACCCTCCAGAGCCCTGGCTCCCGAGACAGTCAGGAGCTGTGCGTCACCGGGTGCTTGCTGCCGGGAGATCGTGTGACCACTCGCCATGATGACGCAGTTGGCAAATGGGAGTGCAGAGCCCTGTCCTTTAGAAGTGCAACTGCTGGGTACAGTGCTGGAAGTGGGGGGCCTTTGGATGGACAAGGTTCCAGCAGCTGATCATCATTGGCACTGACAAAGAGACACACGTGGCTGCATTGTTATCTCTATTTCATTTGGGTTTTTGGAGTTTTCCTTAATAAAAATGTAAGTCTGGCCGGGTTGCACAGTGGTTTGGAGCGTCGTCCTGTATGACAGGTGGCCAGGTCAGTCCTCGTCGGCACGACAGGAGGCAGTCAGTCCATGCTTCTCTCACATGAAGGTCTCGCCTCTACTTTTCAGACTGGGCCGCTGCCATCCGCGTCGCTGCCCTGGACTGTGCGGAGAAAAGCAACCACGAGGTGTGCCAGGCCTACAACATCCACTTCTACCCCAGCTTCCGGGTGAGCGCCCCCCTGCCTCTCGGCTCTGCTGGACCTTCTCTCTGAGCTGGGTTCACCATAGGCAGTCCCCCCCGATCCGTCTCCAGCATGTGAAGCGCTTCTGTAGAAGTGGTGGGAGTGTCTGCTTGCAGAGGGTCCCCTTTGGTCCCCTTTAGGGTCGGGGAAGGTGCTGTCTGTGGCTCTGCCCTGTTGGGTCAGAGCATGTAAATAAAGTTGCGGATGGTTGCGAGTCACCTGTACACGTGGCAGGAGGCCTCAGATCCACAGACACAGACTCTGGCTCCTCCTCCGGGGCCTCGGGGCTTTGAATAGACTTTCTGGGGGGGGGTGACTTTGGGGTACCTGCTGCTTGTTGGTTGGCTAAAGATCATACATTGACAAGACACCAGCTAAGGCTGTTTCTCATTTGTCCTCTATTTTTCCTTTTAGTATTTTAGAGCATTCACAAAGGACTTTACAACTGGCGAAAACTTTAAAGGTGAGGACATAAGCACTGTGTCTTTACTGTAGGGTTGCCTCAGGCACCCATCACAACAAATGTTTCAGGAACCTGTCCTAGCCCCAGCCAGCCTCCTGCCCACCCCTGTAAGCATTCGGGCAGGCAAAGTCTCAGCAGGAGGTGTTGTTTGTTTGGCTTTTGTTACTCCTCCTCCAGGAGATTTTCAGAGAGAGTGGAAGGGAGGGAGGGAAAGAGAGACAGAGACATGGATGTGAGAGAGCCACATCGATTGGTTGCCTCCTGCACACACCCCAACCAGGGCTGGGGATCAAACCTACAACCAAGGTACATGCCTTTGACTAGGAAGGAGCCTGACCCTTCAATCCGTAGACTGACACTGACCACTGAGCAACACCAGCCAGGGTTCAGCAGGAAGTTTTTATTTTGTGCTCTGCCTTCTTTGGCAAACACAGCAGTGACAAAGTCTTTTGTTTGTTATACACACACACACACACACACACACACAATGAGTGGCCAGATTATTATGATCTCTAAACGTATAATAATCTGGTACTCGGTGTCTATCCTATATAATAAAAGGCTAATATGCAAATTGTCCCCTCAACAAGGGTTTTGACCAGCAGGCAGGCAGGCCAACCGCCCATGTCCCCTCCCCCTGGCTAGGCGGGCCGGACCCTACCTATGCACGAATTCATGCACTGGGCCTCTATATACACACACTAAGTGGCCAGATTATTATGCGTTCAGAGATCATAATAATCTGGCCACTCAGTGTATATGTGTGTGTGTGTGTGTGTGTGTGTGTGTGTGTGTATTTTTTTTTAATGATTTCAGAGAGGAAGGGAGAGGTAGAGAGAGATAGAAACATCAGTGATAAAAGATAATCATTGGTCAGCTGCCTCCTATATGCCCCACACTGGGGATCGAGCCCGCAACCCAGGCATGTGCCCTTTGACAAGAATCAAACCCAGGACCCTTCCGTCCGCAGGCCAACACTCGATCCAAACTGGCTAGACATGACAAAGTTTTTATTTTATTTTTTCAAAGTAAACTTTAGAATTGAAAAAAATATTGGAACAATGCACATCTGGTGGTTTTTTTATGAATGGGCCCACCAGGTAACAGGCACCCAGATCAGGCCCCAGAGGGTGATCAGTCAGCCAGCCCACTGTGACTGCGTTCTAGTCAGAGGACGTCCTGCCTGGTGTAAACCAGGTGTGGGCGAAATTGGCGTACCTGGCCTATGCCTGCACGCCTGTCACCTCACCATGCAGCCTCCTGTCGCGGGACTCGCTGCTGTCCGTACCAAGCTCTCGGTGGCAAGGCACCCCGCTGGGGACCTGGGTTTGGGGGGCAAGTGGGGAGTCCCCGAGGTGATGGTGGTTGCTTCCCCAGGGTCTGACCGAGAGCTGCAGATGGTGAGACAAGCCATGATTGACTTCCTGCAGAATCACACGGACGCAAACAGGCCTCCCGCCTGCCCGGCTCTGGACCCTATTCGGTGCGTGGTTCCATAAGAGAAAATGGCATGTTAGGCGTCGAATTAATTCTACAAAACTCAGATGCGCACTAAATGGGATGGGCACTTTACCTGGTGGCCAGCTCACTGTTCCCAAAAGCACTAAAAGCCTTTTTTTCCTCTTAAAAGGCCCAGTGACGTTCTTTCTCTCATTGACAACCATGAGGGCTACTATGTGGCTATTCTGTTTGAGAGCAACAGCTCGTATGTTGGACGTGAGGTACCGTGTCTTTATCCTGTCAGGTCCTGGTGTGATTGGGTTCAGCACGGGGCCTGGGCCTAGATTCCGGGGGTGAGAATTGGCTGGTTTTTGGAGAAGACAGTAGGGGAGTGTCTCTGAGGGCAGGAGAAGAGGGCACAGGCTGGCCTTGTCCCCGAGTGGGCATGGGGTTCAGGGGGCGGGGACGGGGCTAGTGGTGCTGCTGTGCTCCTGTCTCTGTTTGGTTGTTGTATTCTGGGCTCCCAGCTTTTAGCCAGATGGCTGCCAGGTGGAGGCAGCAGCTCCCCAGCTTTGCTCAGAGTCGAATCCTCCCCCCTGTCTCCACCTGGGTCCAAGGCAGAGGCCAGGGCCCCGTTGCTGTCGGGGATGCTGGGGCTGGCCCCGGGGGCGGGGGCACTTGATGATCAGTTTCGTGGAGGACGTGCTGGCTGGCGCAGGACCGCACAGGGCCACTGGCAGGCCCCCTCGGACCATCTGTGGTTTCTGCCAGGGTGTCCGTCATGCTCAGTTGCCTTAGATGTGAGCGTCTGGTTGTGGAGAAGACAGGTGCAGAGTGTTCCCGGTGACACTGCTCTGGTTCCGTGAGCAGGACTCCCTCTGCATCGCACCCTGCAGACCCGCATGGGCCAAGGGTGACCTTCCCTCCTCATGCAGGTGATCCTGGACCTGAGTCCTTACGAGAACATCGCGGTGAAGAGAGCCCTGGACAGTGACCCGGCCTTTCTGGAGAAGCTTGGCATCTCTTCCATTCCTTCCTGTTACCTGATTTACCCAAATGGGTCCCACGGGTTAATTAACATGTAAGAGTAGTTTGGCGGAAGAACTGCTTGAAGGTGGCATCCCAGAACCACCCGGGTGGGAGCTCATGCCAAGCCAGACGTGGTCTGGTCCGCACCTGTGTCTGGCGGTGGGGGGAGGAAGAGGGAAGAGTCGTGGGGGGCACCCACCTTCCCCAGTGAGCAGTGGGCACAGGTGGGCTCTGGACTCCATCCCTTCAGTTCACTCTCCTTCCTGAGATGCACAGAAACCATGAGAGCACAGATGACCTCTGCACTGGGCCCCTGAGATAAACACGAATTGGAAAAGATTGTGGGAGGATTAGGTCGCCTCCGAAACCTGGGCTGCCTGCCTGGTCCCCACCTCTCCGCCCCCCTGCGTGGTTCTCACGCAGCCCGCTGTCCTGGGGACCTCGGGCTTTTGTGAAGCTGGGCGTCTGTACCACCTGCGGCTGAGCTCCTTAGGACTGAGCACCGGGCCTGCAGCAGAGGCCGGGCCCAGCTCAGCCACTGCCCTCCCCCGGCTCCCTGAGCACTGCCGTTCGCCTCAAAGACCAAGGATTGTTCACGTTGGAGTGTCATCTGTAGGATGTAACTTAGAGTGTGGTTGATACTGTGCCCTGCGTACTTTGCATGACCTTGAGCTACTAGAAGGTCTCAGTCAGCCTTCACACACCCTGTAGCTTGAGGGGCTCGTGTGCAGCAGGCTCGGGAGGACTGAGGCCGTGACCGCCACACGTCATAGAGCTGGTGCAGGGATGCTCAGCCGCTCCACAGCCCACGGTGTCCCTGAGCAGCTGGGCTCAGGGTAGTGTGGGTTTGTCTCATGTCCTGGGGAGAGGGGTATGGGGTCAGCTCCGAGGCCACACCCAGGGCAGCTGCAGTGAAAGGTAGGAGAGGGGAGTACAGCTTCCCTCCCTCACGAAGGGGCCTGGGCAGCTCAGGGCCAGATCTGGGCTCCAGCTCAGCCCACACCCACCCACCCCTTTCTCGCAGCGCGAAGCCTCTCCGGTCATTTTTTTCCTCTTATTTGAAGTCGTTGCCAGATGTGAGGAAAAAGTCGCTTGCGTTGCCTGAAAAGCCAAGCAAAGAAGAAAACTCTGAAGTCGTGGTGTGGAGGGAGTTTGACAGGCAAGTGCTGCCTTTGGACAGGAGGGGCGGGGGGTGAGCACCAGGAAGCCGGGTGGACAGGAAGCTGCGGGCTCAGTTCGCTGGCGGCTCGGGCCCCCCTGGGTGGTGGGGGACTCACTGGAGAGAAGGCATTCACACCTGGCTCTGTGATATCTCAGGTCAAAACTGTACACGGCGGACCTGGAGTCAGGGCTGCACTACCTCCTGAGGGTGGAGCTGGCCGCCCACAGGACACTGGCCGGAGCCGAGCTGAAAACACTGAAGGACTTTGTTACTATCGTTGCCAAGGTGTGCAAGGCCTGCTCTGGGCTGGGGCTCAGTCCGTGGATGTGCGGTTTGGTTTGCTGACCAGCGGTGTCCAACCCGCTTTCAGTACTGGGAGAGTGGCTCATGCAGATGCCAGGCCTGAGGGGGCACTAAGCAGGGGGTCTGGGGGGGCGGGGGCATGGGCAGGAGGGCAATCTTCGTGGGTACTTACCCAGGTGGGTGGTGAGTATGGTGGGAGCTGAGGGACTGACTCGGTGTGTGGCTGGGCCAGCAGCCCCATGACATGGGGGATGGGGACAACAGGAGTAGGCAGACAGCATCTCAGGAGGGTACAGCGTGGCCACTATCCTCGTCTTCTGGGGTCTGCTTTGGGGTGGGGGTGGGGGGTGCCCAGGACCAGTGCTGTGGGTTTAGTAGGAGGTTGCGTGGTGTTCATGGAAGTTTAGTTCCTGCCTTGCGGACTGTTGTTTTCTGGCCCAGATGATTCTGGGAGGAGGGAGGCGGGAGGCCCCCTCAGGTTCCTGGAGCAGGTCTGAGCCCTGGTTCTCTTGCCCCCGCAGCCCTGTCTGGGCCTGGCTGTGGCTCCTCTGCTCTTGGGGTAGCCTAGCCGGGGTCCTAGGGCCCCATTCGCAGCACTGCGACACGATGCTTGTTTTGTCTTAAGAAATAAGGAGGCTGGACTTAAGAGATTTTTTTGCCTCATGTAAGGTCCCTAAACAGATTCGCATTCCACATTTTGGATGGTCAGAGATTGCTCACTGAGTTTTGAGAAAATGGAGGAGATAGAACTTACGTTTAAAAGAATAACTGGGAGGTGCCTAGTGCATTTCCCCCGAGTAAAGGAAAGCTGCTGCCCGCACAGGCTTCGATCCTTTGTGGGTTCAGAATTCTGGAATCTCCGGGATGTCCTCCTGCTCTGGGTCAGCTGCTCAGCAGTCGGCACCAGCTCAGTGAGCGGCGGGCCCAGCCCCGGGGCCAGGGTGGCCACATCCTTAGCCGCCTTCCTCAGACTCAGGCTGGAGATTCCTGCTCGTAGTTGGTAGTGGTCTGGGCGGCTTGTCAGGAGAGCGTTTCCGGAGCTGACAGTGCGCAATCACTGCTGTTCTTCAGCATCGACGTCGTCTCGTAAGACATAGCTCAGGTGTGAGGGGCCCTCTCAGCAGTGCCGCTCTGCATGTCTCCTGGCGCTGTGCTCGGGTGTGAGGTCGCCGGGTGAGGGGCTGCCTGCCTTTCCAGGGGCCTAAGTGTGGTGCTTCCCCCTCAGCTGTTTCCCGGTCGCCCGCCCGTCAGGAAGCTGCTGGAGATGCTTCAGGAGTGGCTGGCCAGCCTCCCTCTGGATCGAGTCCCGTACAACGCCGTCCTGGACCTGGTCAACAACAAGATGCGGGTGCGCACCTCCTGCTCCTGCCTACGCGTGGCGTCCCCATGGCCCCTCCTCAGGCCCCTCTGGGTGGTCTCTGTCCCATCCCCATGACGCCTGCATGTCTACTCCTCTGCCCTGCTGCTGTCCGCTCCCTGCCGAGTCCTCGGGGCACGGACGTTGGTGACGGCCACCGCTCAGGCAGGGGTGGTTTCTCGGGTGGCACTGGGGCTTGCAGTAAATTTGAGTTTGCACCTAAACCGATGTGTTTAGTAAGAGTGTGGCTGAGCTGCCCTTCAGCCTGATGCCCGTAGTGAGGGTCGCTGAGAGCCTCATCCTCCCAGGACCAGCTGTACCGGGTCGTGGTGTGCACGGGCCTGGTGTAAGCATGTTGGATACGTGTCCCGTGTGTGACTACCCTGTCAGAGGACACGCACCAACTATTTGTATTTCTACTTCTAAGAGTTCAGTTATCTGTTATTCTTTTTTTTCCTCAGATTTCTGGAGTATTCCTCACTAATCAGATCAAGTGGGTTGGATGTCAAGGAAGCCGCCCGGAGTTGAGGGGTTACACGTGTTCTCTCTGGAAGTTGTTCCACACTCTGACTGTTCAGGCCGGGACCCACCCTGACGCGCTGGATGACACAGGTAATGTCCCTGCACGGCCATGGTGCTGTGTGCCCCTGGGCCATCGGGATGACGGCCAAGGCCATCGGAAGCTCAGCAGTGGGGGGTTGGCTGTAAGACCGTGTGTTGTCGGGGCTCTGCTAAGCAGGCGAAGGGAGCGTCTTTTCAGGTCGCAGACCCTATGCACCCGATGCCGAATTCTCCCTCCCTGGGCCCAGCACGTGCAGGGGCCCAGTCCCGGCCCGGGGAGGGCCTGTGTGGGAATCTCTGCTTGTGCTTTAAACGTATGAGACTCAGTGGAAAAGGGTGTGCTTCATCTCTCAATGCATAACAGGTTACCCTAAACCCAGCAGCTTGAAACAGTGCACTCTTGTCTCACAGTGACTGTGAGTCAGGAATCTGATGTGGCCAAGCCAGGTCCTCTGCAGGGCAGTGTGTCCGCCTGAGGGCCAGGGTTTCACCTGAAAGTCCGACTGGGAGAGGACCCCACCATCACGTGGTGGAGGCAGCCGTGTCCCTGCTAGCTGTTCCTCCCCGTGTCCTCCCCACAGCAGCTCCCACAGCACTGGCTCTGTCAGAGTGAGTCCCTCGCTGTGCGTGTTCTTGTCATTAGAAGTCAGCCACGGCCCCACCTGCTCACAGGAGCTGGCGACCCAGGGCCATCTCAGGGGCTGCCTGCCACAAGAGGCAAAACTACCAAAGTTTGAGTGGGTTTACTAACTTCAGTCACCAGGAAGTAGCTAACGCAGCATCGTCATGTTCTGCATGCTCCATAGACACTGAGAAACGTGCTGGATACTTTACCCTTTGGACCTGGTTGTGTGGACCTGGTTGTGCAGGCCGCTGGCCACATGGGACAACTGCTGTCTTAGTTGTCATTTCCCTTTTTTTAAATATGTTTTTTATTTCAGAGAGGAAGGAAGAGGTGGGGAGAGAGAGAGAGAAACATCAATGAGAGAGAACATCAATCGACTGCCTCCTGCACGCCCCCTACTGGGGAGCAAGCCTGCAACCGAGCATGTGCCCTGACCAGGAAGAGCGCCATGACTCCAAGTTCGTAGATTGATGCTCAACCAAGGAGCCACGCCAGCTGGGCTCGGTTGTCATTTTCTTAGTTGGTGAGGTCCACTGATGCTCATGTTACATCCTGACTCACACAGTCCAGTGTTCTTCCCAGTAAAAGTGTAAACTAACCCAGATGTGGTGGCTCTTGTGTGGGACCAGGGGGTGCTCGTGGGTCTGGACTCAGAAGGTCCAAGCCCTGCAGCCAGCCGCTCCTCACCACCCAGGAAGGCACGCTCAGCCTCGGCGGGCACCGGCATCACTTCCCCACACCCTGTCAGGCAGATAGGGCTCACCCACCAGGTGCAGAGGGCAGGGCCACCCTCGAGCATTTGTATAGCCAGGCTCTCCTCCAGGCTCTCCCCCAGACAGTACTGAGTTCTGGGGTCTCATGGGGCAGAGGTGGGCTGTGAGATCAGAGATTCTGTGAAGAATCAGCAGGACAGGAGCAGCATGGCTTTCGGGAAATGCGGAGCTCCCGGACAGAAGCGATGGCCGCTGAGCCTCGCGTTCCCCGGTCCAGCCCTGGCAGCAGAGCTGCTGAAGGCCGCCTGGTAGCCGCCAGGCTGTGTCCCCAGGAGACTGCAAGGCGGTGCAGCGCTGCCTGGTGTCAAAGGGCGGCACATGGCAGAGCACACGGATCCCGCGGGATCTCGCCTGGCGGTGGTGGCCATGCACATTGCAGCTATGCTAGGAGCACGTCTCGTGCTGCAGAACTGGGTCAGACGGAGACACCGGATTATGTCTTGGGAGGTTTCCCTCTCCTTATTGGACATTTAAACCCATCGACTAAAAGCCTGCATGGCCCCTAATCCCCTCAGGTAGAGCTTGTGGTTCTTGTGCACTTTAAAGATTAGGAGGTCGCAGTGAGCAGTGCTTGGCTGGGAGAGAAAAGGAGGATTACGGTGAAGCGGAGCAGATGTCGGCCCAGGACTGCCGGCTGCCGGCGAGGGGCTACGGGCCGAGGCCAGCCAAGCGCATCACATGGCAGTCTCCTGTGGGCATTGCCCACTGTCCTGGACACAGCCTGGGGGGAGTCAGCTCACACCTCTGAGTGGAATGGCCACCAATGTTAGTGACTGACCGACAGGGAAAAGGCCGCTGGGGCTTCAGGGCTAGTGGGCATGGCCATGAGGCAGAGCCACAACAGCTTCAGCCAGAGACCATGAGGGCCTGCTGTTGGTTCTGACTGATTCAGTCTCAAAAGTGTGCCTTTTGTTTTCCCGTTAGTTTGCTACGTGTCTTTTAACGCTGACGTTTAATGTTTTAACCTCAATGTCTCCCTGTGTGCTTAACCTCCTCCTCGCTGTCTGACAGGCCCTCTGGGCCCAGCCCAGGGTGCTCTGCCTTGTGGCTTTCTCAGGGCACGTTAGTGCCACGCTGACTCTGCCCCTCCCTTCCCTCCGGTCCTGTGGCTGCTTCCCAAAACGTCAGGGTGTGTTTACTCGGGCCCCATGCCAGGCTGTAACGGGGGGCGGGGGCCGGTGGACTGGGGGGGAAATGCTGGAGCACTCCCACCAGAGGTTCAGCCTCTCCTCAGAGGGCAGGTCCTGGTGCCTGCTGTTCCCCAGACAGCCTGGCCACTGCCCATCCGGTCCAGGCTGCCCGAGGGAAGGTCAGTGCGGAGTTGGCGGCACCCCCAGAGGCACGACTCCAGCCACTGCACTGGGCTTGTGTTGTGCAAGGACTTGGGAGCGCCCAGCGCCAGCCTTGGGGCTGCTTGTGATGGGGGAGGCAGAGCCCTGCTCTGGGGGGAAGCCGGAACCTGGTCGGAAGTCAGAGGCGCAGCTCGCCCCTGGAGATCCTTCCTCTGGTGCTCGTTCTGGGGCTGCACAGGTGCACGTCAGATTCAGACGAACACGGGACAAATAAACAAGGTTTAAGTTTATGTGGCCACAAAAAAGCAACAGCTTCTATTTTCATAGAAACATACATTTATTTCGATAGAGACATGTGGAATACAAAGGCTGAAATAGATGAGTCATTGTTAACAAAATAATAGGATATTTTAATAAAAATTAATATATTTTCTTGAACATTAACTTACTAGATACTGAATAACTGCATAAATTAATAAGTGTAACGCAAATAAACCTATTCTTCTTGTTCTCTGAAAGCAAAATATTTCCTGTTGCGCACACCAAAAAAGTGAGTCCAAGATGAGGGATGTGGCTATTGGCTGCTAAAATATTTGCTGCTGGTATTTGTGGAGAGAAATGGTGTGCCTGTGCGTGAGGCGCGTGAGGGAAAAGATGCAGCACACTTACAGTAACTGGTCATCAGCGAACGTTGTAGTTTGATGTAAACCATTATGTAAACAGGACAGTGTAAAAATTTAAGTCACGAAATGTTTATTAAAATGTTTCCTACATACCGTAATATTGGCTGGGCCGCAAAAACATGCGTTTTGGGCAACGAGTTTGACATGCTTGCTGGCTGTTTGGGAAGGTGCTGCTCCTTCCCGTTCAGCGACAGGCCTGAGCTGGTTCCTGGCTTCCGGCACCACCCCAGCCCTGGTTCCTGTGGGAACTGTCAGTGCTCTGTTCCCTGCAGGTTTCGAAGACGACCCCCAGGCGGTGCTGCAGACCATCCGGAGGTACCTACTCACCTTCTTCGGCTGTAAGGAGTGCGGGGAGCATTTTGAGGAAATGGCTAAAGAGTCCATGGATTCCGTGAAAACCCCAGACCAAGCTATCCTCTGGCTTTGGAAGAAACATAACCTCGTGAACAGCCGCCTGGCAGGTAAGCAGAAGCCGTGGTGGCCTGCCCATGCCCATCAGCGGGTCCTGTAGGAGGCGGGGGAGCACTGATTGCAGGGATGACCTGACCTTGGTGCCGCTTCGCCTCCCCGGGCTCACAGCCAGCACCAGCCCCGCTCCGACATCGGTTTCAGGACCTTCCAGGGTGTCTGCCTTTCAGACTCTTCTCTCCCTCGAGCCTCGTGGGAGCTGACAGGCAACATGTATCCCCTGAGGAGTCCACAAGGCCCAGTAGATGGAGGGGGAGGCTTGGGTCATGATTAATTTTCAGGAAGGAATTTTAGTGTCATTAAAATCTGCTCTCAGATGATAAATCAAACTCCTCAAAATGGCTTTGTTTAAAACCTAAGTAGGGCGCATACATTTTCTCAGAGTTAAGTAATTCAAACTGCTCCTAAATCAGTGGTAGATTAAAATTAGGCTTAAACATAATTCTGCTCAGAAGTAAATCTTGATAGAGATGAGCAGAAAACCCCCTAAACTGCTGGTTTTATTTAATCCACTGTCTTACAAAAACATACGACAACGCAAGCACTAAAGAAAATTGGTTGCTCTTTGCACCAGAGCTGCCTGCTGGCTCTGGTCACGTGGTGTGGCCCCTCCTGTTTGCCGGCCTTGCTCTCCTGTCGGTGCAGGTGGAGGCGCCTCCGTGGAGGCCCTGCTGCAGGTGTTGGGCCTCCCCGTGCCTCTTCCTGTCACCTGTGCTCCCAGCAACTCTGAGGTTGCACTGGCAGCACTGAGCTCCAGGAGCCTGTGCTCCCTCCCCCGTCATCACCCTGCCACAGAAATGGGCTTTCTACAGCCCATGGGAGTGTCTCCTAGCCCCGTAGTCCCCGGCCCACTTCTAGCAAAGCAGTGGGACAGACAGGAGCAGGGCAGGGGAGTTGCATGTAGTATGGCTGTGGTGGCTGCCCGAGGGCCATGGCCGCAGCTGTGCAGGGAAGGTGAGGAGAGGAGTGTAGGGGTCATCCAGTCCCCGGAATATGGAGGTCCCAGGGTATGGGTGGGCCAAGAAGGTGGGGGAGACAGGCACCTGACCGTGGCGGGAGGCCTGCGGCGTGGCAGCCCTGGGGGGTGGGCGAGTTGAGGGAAGGCCTCCCCAGCTGCCTCCCTCCCACGCCCAGGCCACCTGAGCGAGGACCCCAGGTTCCCCAAGGTCGCGTGGCCCACTCCGGACCTCTGCCCCACCTGCCACGAGGAGCTGCGGGGCCTGGACAGCTGGGACGAAGACCAGGTGCTGCTGTTCCTAAAGCGGCACTACGGCAGCGACAACCTCGTGCACACGTACGCCGCAGCCCTGGGTGGCACGGGCGAGGCCGAGGAGCGGGAGGGAGGCCGAGCCAACCCAGAGAGGCCTGGAGGCCACGGGGCCCAGAGCCTGCGCCAGCCCGGGGCACTGCCCCCCACACCTCGCCCCTCAGAGGGGTCACGCCCGGGACTGGCTGGGCCCGAGGGCCGCAGGGAGGCGGAGGCGGAGGCAGCCGCACCCTTCCTGGGGATGGGCTTCTCCAGCTTGGACATGAGCCTCTGCGTCCTGCTCTACGTGGCCTCCGCCACCTTCCTGATGGTGATGTTCTTCTTCTTCCGAGTGCGATCCCGGCGCTGGAAGGTCCGGCACCGCCACCCGTCCGTGTAGAGGGGGGCCCGCCCGCACCTGCGGTTTGAGTGTCTAATCAGGGATGACAGGCGGGGGCCTGCTTCCCGCCAATGGCAGCTGTGCTCCCAGAGCTGGGGCTGTGTGTGTTCCCGGCCTATGTGCGGTTCATGGGCGCCTCTAACTGATCCATAGCAAAGCAACTTCTAGGTTTTTACTCTTCTAGGTCTGAAAACGGGAGTGGGGGGGCGGTCCAGGCCAAAAAGAATGTTTGCACCCACTTTCACCTCAAGTTTACTGGGCTCCACGGCTGTTGTGCACGGCCTCCTCTGGGGATTTGGAGAAAAACCCAGCCCTTCCCCACAGAGAGTAAGGGGTAACTGAATGCATCCAGGGACCCCCCCTGGCCCCCCACCGTGCCTCGCCCCCCACCACCACCATGGAGAGTGGACTTGGTGAGGGACGGGAGGGTGGTGCTCGTCTGACTCTGCAGGGGCAGTGCCTGGTCCTGTTGGTGGTTAACTGGTGATGAGAGAGCTCAGTGCGTGAGGGCCGCCCAGGTTGCCTGTCCCCTGGCAGTTGGGAGACTCTGAGCCCGAGAGCAGAGCTTCCAACTGGGCCCCTGTCATCCAAGCCCCAGCCATCCAGCACCCAAAGCCCTCCTGAGCCATTGCCCCAAGCCGGAATGGGTGTTGCACGGGGTCTCACTGGCACCTCTAAGGCCAAACTTCATTTGCCTGAAGCTGTTTTACACAGGTCTTGGCACAGGGCCTATCCCCCGGCTTTGATGGTTAATTGTTTACCATTCAATGATTTTAACACTTTATTTATAAAACCCAAAACATTCAGAGGTAAAGTGAATGCATAAACAAACTCCTGGGGGCATTTCCTTTGACATCCTTATGCAGGTGCACAGCAGTGTGCACCCCCATGTCCTTGTCCATGTGTGTGTCCATGTGTGTGCTCCCGTGTATATGTGCTCCCGTGTGTGCTTGCTTGTCACGGGGATGGTGGCAAGCAGTTCTTCCCACTGTGCCTGTGGTGTCCTCACGCTCCCTCATTGCAGCTGCTAAGCACATGTGGACCACTCGCACCAGGTCCTGCCCCAGCCCAGCTCGGGGGAGCCCAAAGGTGGTACCTACAACGCTACCACCAGCCTGGTGCCCCCCTGCGGGCAGGCATGGCCGGGAACAGGGAGCCTGCCCTGGGCTGAGCCTCTGCCACCCCTGCCAGAGGTTTCACCCCTAGAAGCCCCTGGTTTAAACCTGAGGCTTGTGTACCTGGTGACTGAAGGCACCATATTGTTTCCTTGCAACTTGAAAATGGGCTGGTTTACAGAGTCCACGGGAAATGCTGTGCCTCTCATTAAACTGCCTTAGGCTCGTGTCAAATGTCATTTTCTCCCCCAAAGCAAGTTTCTGTGAGCAGTGAGCACTGTCCTACATCAACCCATTTGACAGGCAGTGTTGGCTTTTAAGGTTCATAGTAATATTGTGGTTTGAGGTCATGTCTGTTACGTCAGGGGCAAGGTTCCAGCAGACCGCCAGTGCCATGCGGCCACGGGAGCGGTTTCACCGCCTTGCACACCTCACATGGTGGCCCGCTCAGAACTGGATGCTACCTTCAGGTCTGTTTTCTAAAGTTGTGAGTATTGAGACAATGAATACAATGGTTCAGTAATTTAAATGTATTTATTTTTAACGGGAGAATTTGGTTAAAAAGAAGCTAATTGACATGAAAATGTCTGAAATTTCTTACGTGCAAAGGAAGTGAACATTTTGTATTTAAAAACTGTAATGTGCAAATTTTGAAATAAAAAAACCCTGATGTTTGGAAAATTATATTCTGAAATGAGAGCAACTGGGAGGTGTGTAGAACCTCTAGTGTATGGACCACACACTTAGCTCCAGAACGTCTAGGAACAGGGTTTGAAGACACCCCAGGGTCAGGTGGAAAGGGAAGACGGGGATAATTAAATTACAGATGGCTCCTGAGACGAGCACCCAGCAGCCTTCCACATAGCCGGGAGAAGTGTGTGTGTGGGGGGGGGGGGGGGGGGGACAGGCAGCCGACTGCATACACCGAAGAACCCCCCAGGCCCTGCTGCCACCACACAGCTCTGGGTGTGGCCTTCCTAGATCACTCTGCCACAGAGTCACATATCTGGCCTCTGCCCTGACACCAGTTTGTTGCCTCGGGTTCTGACTAGATTTCCCCTGCCCCCTCCTCTGCTTGGTGGGAAGAGGTCTCTAGTAATAGGGTGTGTGGCTGGAGGGAGACCTGCTGGCTGCAATGTCTGGCTTCATTTCCCTGCTGGGCTGTGTGGTCACCCCTCCTGGCTTTTCCCAGGCTATTCCCTCAGAACACAGGCAGCCCCCAGGGTGCAGTTGGAGCAGAGCACAGGGGACCAGTGTGTATGGCAGCCGGGGTTGTGGTGGTGGTGTGGGTGCGGGCTCATCATCAGTGACCCCCCCCCCCCCCACTTCAGGCCCTTGATTCCTGAGCATTCTTGGGGACACCCCAGATGCCCCTCCTCCAGACTGCAGTGGGGGTGGGGTTGTGCCCGAGGTCAGGAGGCCGTTGATGCAGAGCCGGCCTATGGGGCCTAAACAGGGCCAGCAGGCCAGAGACGCCCTCCCAGCCGGGCCTGGACAGCCTTCCAGAAGGCTGATGCAGGAGCAACCGGTGGGGCACCCACTTGCCACCAATGCCCAAGCCTGTGGGCGGGGCAGCAGGACAAGGAGGTGGGCAGGGAACAGAAAGGGGCGGGGGTGGAAAGGGTGGCAGGCCTAGGGATAGATGGCAGGAGGTTGGTGACTCTCGCCTCCTTCAGCACTGCGGACAGCGCTGGGCCCTGAGGCTGGGGTGGGCAGCTCGACGTGGACCCAGGCCTCCGAGTGCTCCAAACCCACCCAGGGGTCAAGGAGGAAGACGGCAGAATGCCATCTGAGCCCCTCCAGCCGAGCTCCGAGCCCCCCCTGCCCCACTGGTGGCCGAAATAGGCCCAGGGCTGCTGCCTGCACCTTCAGTGGGACCCAGGGTAAAAGAATCCCAAGTTTAAGGCCTCAAGCAAGGAATGGAGGGCAAGAGGCATGGAGGCCAGCAGAGACCACCTGGGCACAGACGCAGAGGGCAGAGGGAAAGGGAGTCCCAGAAACCAGACCTTGGGCCACAGTAGAGATGGGAGGAGAGGGGAGGGTCAAGGACCAGGAGCTCTGCCATCGTTCATGGTGGTTTGGGGGGCTTGGTCCAGGCACCCAGAGCTTTCCTGAAGGCGCTACTGGTCCAAGTGGTGGTGCAGGCGGGAGGTGCCAAGTTTCTCTCTAGAAAAACCCACCCCCGAGCTCCCACAGTGCCCAGCGGCCCTCCCCAACCAGCCCAACAGCCCAACACCGGACCCCTGGTGGGGCCCAGCCAAACTCTGCTCCCCAAGGGCCATATTCCATCACCACTGACACTGGCGGCATTGTCGGTGGGCCAGCCAGATGCCTAGCGAGTGGGTCGTCGCCTCCTCCACCTGCTGCCTGCCCGCCCTTCCAGTCACAGCCCCTCTCAGACAGCCTCCGCTGCAGCCAATACTCTGCTGGGATCCAAGGCTTGACTCCCCTGCCCTGACCTCAGGGTGACACTGCAGAGTGAGATGAAGGGCTGTGTGCTGGCTGCAGGGGCCTCTGATCAAAACCAAGACTTCATAGACTGGGGGCTACCGGCAGAAGATGGGGCAGGGGGTGGGGGCCTTCTGTGGGACCCCGATGCAGGGCCTGGAGCGGGAACCAACCTGCTCCAACCCTAGCACTTCCTGAGCCTGGCCACTCCCTGTCCCACCCTGCAAGAGGCCCACCCTGCTGAGTCCTGATGGTGGCCTGCAGGGGGCTGTGCCCTGGGTAGATCAGGTCTACAAGCGGGACGAGTGGGTCCCTGCAGGCTCACCTGTTGGACTGGGGTGCGATGTCCTGTGCAGGCTGGGCGCTGAGGTGGAGAGCAGTATGTGGGTGTCCAGGACCAGTATGTGGGGTTCTCTCCTACAGAACCGCCTCCTTCCCGCACCCACTCGAAGCGGAAGCTCCAACCAGGAAGTCTTAGGTCGCCTCAGCTCCCGGTGGTTCGCTGGCCCTTGGGCGACGTTCACCCCTGAGTCTGGGTGGTGTTCGTGCAGATCCGACGGCCTCACCAGGCCTTCCAAGTGCGGCTCTGAGTTCGAGTATCGGCGACCCTCCCTGGTCCTCCTCGCAGGACCCTAGAGTCCAGGCCTCAGCCCGAACCCGGCCATGGCGCAGGGCGAGGAAACGGCGGGGAGCTGGCGGCCCCAACCCGGCTCCTATCGGCCCGCCCTCCGCGGCAGGGTCCCGGCGAAAAGGGATCAGAGCGGCGGCCGAGTCCCTGAGACTCCCGGCCCCGCCCCGCCCCGCGCCCCGCCCCCGGCGCTCCGCCCTCCCCGCGGCCGAGGCTGAGCCCCCGGCGGCCCGCGGGCGCAGCGCCCAGCAGCTCGGGAGCAGCTCGGACGTTGGCCCGGGGCCTGAGGCCGCGGCCTGGCGGGGCCCCGAGGAAGTTCGGGGCCGGATCGCGGCGGCCCCGGGCGGCGGCCCATGGAGGCGCGCGGGGAGCTGGGCCCCGGCCGGGAGGCGGCGGGCGGCGACCTGCTGCTAGCGCTGCTGGCGCGGCGGGAGGACCTGCGCCGAGGTGGGTGCTGAGGGGTCGACCCTCCCCGGGAGACCCAGGGTGCTCACGCCTTGGCGGCCAGGCCACGGGACCCACGGGGCCGGGTGGAGTGGGTTCGAGGCCCCACACGTCCTCCCCTGAGCGCCCGGCAGCAAGTTTGCGCCGGCCCGGGCGCTGGGTGCTGGGCGTGTGGTCCTGGGCGGAGGGTCCCGGGGGACAGTCCCCCACGCTCTCCCGGGCAGAGACGCAGGTCGGGGCAGCGGGACCCCGGCCGCCGGTCCCCTCAGTCGGACTCTAGCATCTGCACCCACAGGCGCCTGCTCCGTTGGTCGCTCCGGCGGGTCCTCTGGATCCTCCTGCAGCCGAGCCCCCAACTTCCTGGGGGCGCAGCCTCGCCCCTGCCACCACCCAGCGCTTGGCTCCGGGGAGCTGGGACCTTTCCCGGCCTCTGCGGGCGGGACCGATGGAGGCGGAGGCGGTCTGGCTGGTGGGGACCGGCCGCTCCTGCTCAGGGCAGTGGGCAAGGGGGTGACATCCGGGCTGTGGGGTCTCGTCCCTCCCTCCTTATTTATTAATTTATTTCCCGGCGGGTCTGGGGGGGGGGTGGCCGCCGGGCTGTGAGGAGGGGGCGGGAGGGCTGAGGGGGAGGGAGGGGGCGGGCGCGCAGGAGCCGCTTGGAGAGGCGGACGGGAGAGGCGGACAGGAGAGGCGGCGGCGCGAGGTGGTGCGGGGCCCGCGGAGCCGAGGGCAGGAGACCCGCCGGCAGGAGCCCCGCCACTGCCCGGGCCGCCCGGGGCCGCCATGCAGCGTAAGGCCAGGGCGCGGGTCCGAGGGGCGCGGGGGCGGGGGAGGCTCTGCCGGATGCGGAGCGTGGAGCGCGGGGAAGGACTGCCCGGAGCTGTCCGGGCCGCGGGTGCTGAACGCGCGGGGAGGTCTGCCCGGCCCCGCGTTGCGCAGCGTCCTCCTCCGCCTGCGCCGCCCACAGCGAGGCCGCCGGACAGCGGGTCTGGGCTCCGCACTCGGCGCGGTTTTGCCCGACGCGGGACCGCGTCCTCCGCGGGTTCCAGGGCTGCGGGAGGGAGGTTGGTTCCGTCCTCCTCTCTGCCCCTGGCTTGGAGCCTCAGGCCTGGAGCCTCAGGGGTCGGGCAGCCGGATGAGCTGGTGAGGGGTGCGGTGCTGGTGGGGGTTCAGCTGCTGTGTGGGCCCTCTCCTCCCCAGAGATCTTTCCTAAGGAGCAGGGATCCTCAGCCACGAGCACCCCGAAAAGCCCCTCGCGGACCCAGGGCTCCCCTGCCTGGTCTCTGGGGGCTTGCAGTCCCAGGGGAGCAGAACCCAGGAACCTGCTGTTGAAGTGGCTATGGCTGAGAGGGAGGGCAAACCGCCTACTGCGTGCTGAACATGGGGCTGTCGATCCATTTGTCTATTCCACTCACAAGCACCGCAGCCGCCCAGAGACGGGAGGGCACCGGCTTTTACCTGGCGGCACAGGAGTCTCTCTCTCTGTCAGGATGCCTGATTGTGCAGAATCATGAGGGCAACTGGGTGGTAGGTGCCCCACGACTCACGTGCCTGGCCCCCAGCGAGGGGGCCCTTTCCCAGCCTGCCTCTGAGTGCTCCTGGGGCAGGTTTCTCTCCGAGCTCAGTGTGCACTCCCTCCCAGGGACCATTTTGTAATGAGCACTTTCTGGCCAGAGGGACTAGCCTGCCCACCTGCTTGCTCATGGGCACAGGCTAAACCTATTTCGGTTTCATAAGTTCTCGTTGCAGGCTGGGCTGCCAGCTCCCTGCCCTGGGGGTGGCTGGTAAGAGAGTGCGTGGGGAAGGGGTCCTATGTCCTAGGGCTAGGGTGGGAGCGTGACACCAACTCCCCTGCCTCGCAGAGATCCCGCTGTGCGCTGGCTGTGACCAGCACATCCTGGACCGCTTCATCCTCAAGGCCCTGGACCGCCACTGGCACAGCAAGTGCCTCAAGTGCAGCGACTGCCACACGCCCCTGGCCGAGCGCTGCTTCAGCCGCGGGGAGAGCGTGTACTGCAAGGACGACTTCTTCAAGTGAGCCGCTGCCCGCTGCCCCCCGCTGCCCGCTGTCCGCTGCCCCCCGCTGCCTGCTGCCCACTGCCCCCTGCTGCCCACTGACCGCTGCCCACTGCCTACTGCCCACTGACCACTGCCCATTGCCCACTTGCCACTGTCCACTGACCAGTGATCGCTGTCCACTGCTCGCTGCCCACGGCCCACTGCCCATGACCCACTGTCCACTGCTCGCTGCCCTCTGCCCGCTGCCCACTGCCCTCTTCCCACTGCTGCTGGGGAAGGGGACAGGGACTGGGGCTGCGGTGCCAGGATCAGGTCTGGACTCCCAGCAACAACCCCCTAGGACACCCTGAGCCCTGTCACCCCGGCTGGGCACCGCAGGCCTCTGCGAGGGCAGCTGGGCAGGGCTAGCCCATCAACACGTTATGTTTTTACGTAATTTTGTTTTTACGTGTTTTTGTTTTTACGTGTTTTTGTTTTTACGTAATTTTGTAAGCGTGGAGGCAGTCGTTAAAAAGGTAACCCGCGTTGGCAGGACTCTGTAGGCTCCCTCCTTAGTTTTGGTCGTGTTTTTGTTCTTGATACTGTGGGTAAGGGCTGCTTTCCCGCAAGACCTCCAAGGACGCAACTTCCCGGCGCCATCGGGGCGGGCTCCCCGCGGCCTGCTGGGGCTGCGGGACTGGACCGCCCTGCGCGCCGCCGTCTCGCGCGCCCGCTCCGGGCGAAGGCGCCGCCGCAGCGCTGAGTCGCCCTGTGGTCCCGCAGGCGCTTCGGGACCAAGTGCGCCGCGTGCCAGCTGGGCATCCCGCCCACGCAGGTGGTGCGCCGCGCCCAGGACTTCGTGTACCACCTGCACTGCTTCGCCTGCGTGGTGTGCAAGCGGCAGCTGGCCACGGGCGACGAGTTCTACCTCATGGAGGACAGCCGGCTGGTGTGCAAGGCGGACTACGAGGCGGCCAAGCAGCGAGGTTAGTGGCGGGGCGGCCGGGTCCGGAGCCTTACTCTGCAAACGGGTGAGGGCCAGATGGTGGGGCGCGCAGGGACCCTCACCTCCCACACCCGCCGCAGCGAGCTCTCTCGGCGCCAATCCGAGCGCCTCCCTTCGCCGGGTAGGAAGGCACCCACCCAGGACCGGCGGGCAGGTTCAGCCCCTCTGGGGAAGCGGGTCCGGCCTCCCTGCAGCCGGGCGCGCAGCGGGGCTGGTCTGACTGCGAGTTATCACTCCTCCTCGGATTCACCCTCCTAAACCCCAACCGGGACATCGGCCTCCCTGCGCTGCGCTTAGAACAGAGAGGATGGGGAGCGGCGTGCCCGGGCGGCCGAGGCTGGAGGCGCGGGCAAGGGGGCTGCGGGTCCCTCCTAGAGGCGGGAGCCGCCCTCCGCCCTGGCATTGCCCCACCCCATTCCCCTTCTCCTGCGAAGCCCTGCGGGGTGCGCATGAGGGGCCCCGTCCCCACGCACGGAGGGTCGGGGAGGGGGCGCTGGGCGCTGGGCGGAGCGGGCCGGCCTCATGGCTCCCCCGGTGCAGAGGCCGAGGCCACAGCCAAGCGGCCACGAACGACCATCACGGCCAAGCAGCTGGAGACGCTCAAGAGCGCCTACAACACATCGCCCAAGCCCGCGCGCCACGTGCGGGAGCAGCTGTCGTCCGAGACGGGCCTGGACATGCGCGTCGTGCAGGTCAGCGCCCAACCTGGCCCCTCTCCGCTCCTTCCCCGCCCACCCGGGACTCACCCTGCCCTCTCTGCCCGCCCAGCCACTCACCGCACCGCTCCACCTGCCCTGGACCACGCTCTCCACGCCCTCCCCGCCCACCCGGGGCTCCCCACGGCCTCCCCGCCCGCCAGGCCGCTCACGGCTCCCTCCCCGCCCGCCCGGGCCGTCGGGCCAGGCCGCACACCATTCCCTCCCCGCCCGCCCGGGCCGCTCACTGTTCCCTCTCTGCTCCCTCCCTGCCTGCCCGGGCCGCTCACCGCACCCGCCCTACCCGCTCGGCCGGGGCCACACACTGTTCCCTGCCCGCCCGGGCCACTCTCCGCACCCTCCCTGCCCGCCCGGGGCTCCCCGCGTCCTGCCTGCCCGCCCGGGGCTCCCCGCGTCCTGCCTGCCCGCCCGGGGCTCCCCGCATCCTGCCTGCCCGCCCGGGGCTCCCCGCGTCCTGCCTGCCCGCCCGGGGCTCCCCGCGCCCTCCCTGCCCGCCCGGGGCTCCCCGCGCCCTCCCTGCCCGCCCGGGCTCCCCGCGTCCTGCCTGCCCGCCCGGGGCTCCCCACACCCTCCCTGCCCGCCGGGGCTCCCCGCGTCCTGCCTGCCCGCCCGGGGCTCCCAGCGTCCTGCCTGCCCGCCCGGGGCTCCCCGCGTCCTGCCTGCCCGCCCGGGCTCCCCGCGTCCTGCCTGCCCGCCCGGGGCTCCCCGCGTCCTGCCTGCCCGCCCGGGGCTCCCCGCGTCCTCCCTGCCCGCCCGGGGCTCCCCGAGCCCTCCCTGCCCGCCCGGGGCTCCCCGCGTCCTGCCTGCCCGCCCGGGGCTCCCCGAGTCCTGCCTGCCCGCCCGGGGCTCCCCACGTCCTGCCTGCCCGCCCGGGGCTCCCCGCGCCCTCCCTGCCCGCCCGGGGCTCCCCGCGCCCTCCCTGCCCGCCCGGGCTCCCCGCGTCCTGCCTGCCCGCCCGGGGCTCCCCGCGCCCTCCCTGCCCGCCCAGGGCTCCCCGCGTCCTGCCTGCCCGCCCGGGCTCCCCGCATCCTGCCTGCCCGCCCGGGCTCCCCGCGTCCTGCCTGCCCGCCCGGGGCTCCCCGCGCCCTCCCTGCCCGCCCGGGGCTCCCCGCGTCCTGCCTGCCCGCCCGGGGCTCCCCGCGCCCTCCCTGCCCGCCCGGGGCTCCCCGCGCCCTCCCTGCCCGCCCGGGCTCCCCGCATCCTGCCTGCCCGCCCGGGGCTCCCCGCGCCCTCCTTGCCCGCCCGGGGCTCCCCTCGCCCTCCCTGCCCGCCCGGGGCTCCCCGCGTCCTGCCTGCCCGCTCGGCCGGGCCGCACACTGTTCCCTGCCCGCCACAGGTGTGGTTCCAGAACCGCCGCGCCAAGGAAAAGAGGCTCAAGAAGGATGCTGGCCGGCAGCGGTGGGGCCAGTACTTCCGCAGCATGAAGCGCGCCCGCGGTGCCCCCAAGTCCGACAAGGACAGCGTCCAGGAGGAGGGGCCGGACAGCGACGCCGAGGTCTCCTTCACGGGTACGCGCCCGGCCACCCTGCCTCGCCCGGATCTCCCGCAGCCCGGAGAGCGCAGCCCGGGTCGGGAGAAGCCAGAAGCCGGGTGATGGTTACAGGGAGACCAGATGGCCTCAGCCTAACTTCAAACACTTGTCACCTTCGCCCCCCACCCCCAAGCCCTGTGGGGTGGCCGCTCAGGACCCTGCCCTCCCCTGGGGCGACCCCTCACCCCATCCCTAGCAGGCGGGCCTATGGGGGAGGGCCCAGGCTCTCCTCGGGCCTGGCGTGAGTTTTAGGGAAGTGGGCAGCACAGGGGGGTCAGTGATTAAAACCTGCTGCTTGGTGGGGAGCCCCCTCCCCCACCCTCCTGGGACCCAGGACCTCAGTCTCCCTTCATGTCCATCCACACGCTTTCTTTTGGCTGATCCCGAGCTTAGGCCACCGTCCAGCCTCTCTGGGCCTCAAACAACTTGTGGGCAAAGTGGGGGTGCTCCCCTCCCAAGGCAGCGTGGGGTCGTCCTGGAACCCGGGTCCCATCAGGGAACCCCATTCCTCAGAGACCAGGCGGGACTGACAGAACAAAACAAAACAAAAAAAGCAGTGTAGACAGGTGGAGGGGTGGACGGGTGGAGGAGTAGACGGGTGGACGGGTGGAGGGGTGGACGGGTGGATGGGTGGACGGGTGAACGGGTGGACGGGTGGACGAGTAGACGGGTGGACAGGTGGACGGGCGGAAGGGTGGATGGGTGGAGAGGTGGACGGGTGGAGGGGTGAAGGGGTGGACGGATGGATGGGTGGACAGGTGCAGAGGTGGAGGGGTGGATGGGTGCAGGGGGGCAGAGGTGCAGGGGGCAGAAGAGCAGAAGAGACGGGTGGGGCGGGTCACCTGCAGGCAGAGGGGCTGGGAGGGCCTGAGTGCAGGAGGCGGGCACCCACCATTGCCCTCTGCTTTCGTTGCAGAAGAGCCAGCCATGGCGGAGATGGGCCCCACCAACGGCCTCTACGGCAGCCTGGGGGAGCCCACCCCGGCCTTGGGCCGGCCCTCAGGAGCCCCCGGCAGCTTCCCGCTAGAGCACAGAGGCCTGGCCGGCCCCGGCCCGGAGCAGTTCCGGGAGCTGTGCCCCGGCAGCCCCTGCGGTGTCCCCCCCTCCCCTGCAGCCCTGCAGAGCCTCCCAGGCCCCCAGCCGCTCCTCTCCAGCCTGGTGTACCCCGAGGCCGGCCTGGGCCTCGTACCCCCAGGGGTCCCGGGGGGACCCCCGCCCGTGCGAGTGCTGGCTGGGAACGGACCCAGCTCCGACCTGTCCACGGGGAGCAGCGGGGGCTACCCCGACTTCCCCGCCAGCCCCGCCTCCTGGCTGGACGAGGTGGACCACGCCCAGTTCTGACCGAGGCCCCCAGCTCCGCTGAGCACTGCGCCCTCCTTTCCCGGACCTCAAGTCGTGGTGCTGCCGCAGGTGCCGCCGGGACAGGATGAAGATGAGGAGCCAGTGGAGGGGCGCCCCGCCCGCACCCCCACTCTTGGGCAGGACTGTCTGCCTCTCCTCCTCCGACCAGGGCTGGCACGCGGTGGGCGCCCAGAAGCCTGTTCTGTACGCAGACCTCTCTCTTTATTGACCAACGAATGGGGGGCGTGTGCTGATTGTGGAGGAGAGACGGCTCCCGCCCGACCCTCCAGCCTCTCCCTGGCTCAGCCCAGCCCGGCCGGCGGGAGACACATTCATTCCCAAAACGGAAAACTCTGCGGATCCTGCTTTCAATCCAGGCCACCTGTGACCCCAGAGACTGCCTCCTCTTTCCAGCTGACGGCGGCATGGGGGTGGGCACCCTCTGGGGAGCTCCCTGACACCGAACCCCCTTCCCCAGGAGCCCGTCACCCCCACCGAGGGCACAAGGCTCGGGTTCCGCCGTTCTCACCGGACTCCACTGGCCGCTGGAGTTGACAACTCCCTGGGGGCCCTGGTGGGCCCAGCCCTTCCCCCGCCAGGAGCTCCCTCCCAGCCAGGTCTGGTTTTCTCCCCTCCCCAGCCCAGCCGCCGGCCTCAGCGTCCGGCCACGCCCAGACCACCCATTTCCGTTGCCAAACAGCCCTCCCCCCCTCCCCCAGCTGCCTCTAACTGCCCGGCCTGGGCTGGACGTGGCTGGAGAAGCTGAGGGCGGGGCTGCTCTGCCCTGGCCGCCTCCTCCCTCAGACCTTCTCCTCCACCTTCGGACGCGGCTGCTCAGGGGGTCCAGTCATTCCTGTGAACTGTGTCCTGCTACCGTGGGTTCTGTGACAGTCGGTCTTTTATTTATTCTCCGGCCACCAGCTTTTTCCAAACGTCATTAAATTTGTCAGTTGCTGTCGGAAAGTCAGCATCCTTAGTGAGCTGGGGGAGGGGAGGGGTCCCTTGAAAGTGGGGGTGGGGGGTGTGGTGGTGCTGCTGGCTCCCTGCAGGGATGGCCCCTCGTGACTTGGGGCCCTTGGCCCTGGTCTTGGCTAACTTCCGAGCACTGTTAGAAGTGTGGAACGGACTGTGCCAGCCATGTGATGGGGCTGGAGCCTCGGCCTGGGTCCCTGGGAGAGGCAGGGGCTGGAGTATGAGACAGAACATGACAGCACAGCTCACGGCTTGGAGCCGGCACCATTGAAGGGTCAGCTGGTCAGGAGATATGGTCACATGCTCATGGGGGTCTCTTCAACTTGGATTCCAATCCCTGCCATCTGCTTGCACACTTGCTGTGTGACCCTGGGCCAGTGGCCTGCCCCCTCTGAGGAGACAGTGGTGACAGCTCGGGAAGAGGGGGACACGAGAGGAGAGCCCGTGACGTGGGGCTCCTCGCCCTCCCCAGAGACTCCCGGAGAGCTGGGCACTGAGGTTGTTGGGAGAACAGGCCCCTGGGCCAGGGTGGGGAGCGGAGGATGGCAGCCTGGGCCCGTTCTGGGAGGAGCAGGTGCCCCCTAGTTGGCCCCTGAACCAGACAGCCCAGCAGGCTTCAGTCAAGTGGTCCCCAGGCCAGCTGCCCCCCGGGCCTGGAGCACAGTGCCAGGGGGGGTGTCACAGCGCCCGCAAGCCCAGGAGGACCCTTGGAATCGGTCTGGGGCGTTCTGGGCAGCCTTGGGGTGGGGCGCCAGAGGGGGTGGGGAGGCAGGGGGAGACAGGGTGCTGGTGGCCATTCTGGGGACAGCATGGACATTGAGGGCAAAGGTGCCCATTGTGAGGCAAGGTGTCAGGGCTGGACTGGGCGTGGGCTCAGGTTCAGAGACCCAGGGGAGCAGCGGGCGGGGTGGGTCCTGAGGGGGTGACCTGTTCTCTGAGGAGAAATCGGAGGTACCTGGGTGGGACTCAGGGTGTAGGGGTTTCAGGCAGCAACGGGCAGCCCGGGGGGATTATAACTCAGGTGTCCCACCCCCAGCCACCAGGACCTGCGGGCGCTGGCAGGTTAATAAAGTTCTGAGTGTCCTGCCGGGGGGGCCTGCCATTCCCGTTCCTGCCGAGCTCACTGCACGGTGAGCTCACTGCACGGTGACCGACCTCCTGGGTGTCTGCACCCGGTCCAGCAGGGCCTGCAGATGGGGCTCTCGGGCCACACCCCACATCCTGATCGCCCCCTGCAAACTGCCAGCCTTAGTGCTCCATCTCAGGACGGTGGCTCTCTGGGCAGACATGCAGGCTCAGCCCAGTTCCCACACAGCCCAGCCGCCTGGTCCTGACAGACGAGTGCAGGCGGAGGCGCTGGGGTCCCTGAAGGTCGAGCAGCCCAGCGTTCTGGCCCCCCCTGGAGGGGTCACCTAGAAAACACCCCTTCCACCCACACGGTGAACCCCATGAGCTGGCGGAGCAACTAGGCCCATGTGGTGTCCGAGAGTGCGAGGTTCCCGGGACCCTCCTTCCAAAGGAGCCAGGCAGAGGGGAGCCCAGCCCCAAGCCCAGGGCGCGGACTGAGGCTGGGCCAGGGGCGCGAGGCAGGCAGTGCCTTTTGTTCCCTTCGGGCGGGAGGGGGAGCAGAGGGATGCTGTGAGGAGCACCTGGCAGACACAAAACATCCCTGCTCCCGTCAGGGCCCGGCTTGTTAACCTCTTTCCCTAACGCAAACCAGACTTCCACTTCCTTCCTTTTAACTCTCCAAGGACCTCTTTCTTTTCAATGTAAAATGTGCACTCGGGTGAAGGCTCAGAGGACCCTCCCAGATCAGACACCCCTCTCTCCCTGTTGCCAGGAGACACCCCCTCCCTCCCTGATGCCAGGGGACACCCCCTCTCTCCCTGAGACGAGGGGTCACTCCTCCCTCAGCATCACCTCCCTCCTCACCATCTGACGCAGACTGAAGGGTTTGTCTGGGGACTGCCCCCCAGAAGGGCAGGAGGTGAGGTCTGGCTCGGGTCCCAGGTGGGGTCAACCAACAGGACCTAGGTCCTGGGTTCCAGAGGACTCGCCTGGACACTAAACCCCAGGGGCTGGAACAATGGATTCTGGGAGCCCATAATTGTTGGAATTACTCTGAGCAACATGAAGCATTAATTTTAAGAAATTTAATAGAAAAAAAGGCTCTTTAACCCCCCTCTCCCCCCCGAGATAAATGGCACCGCGTCCGGCCTTCTCCACACCTGGTGACATTGACGGATCTGAAACTTATTTACATTTTCATTCTTCGTGGGAGATGTTGACAAGCTTTTGGCCACGGTGAGGGCTCGGGGTGGGAGCGCCCCCTCCTCCCTAATTAATGGGGAAGCAGCAACTTCATACGCAGAATTGTCATCACTCTGCCTGGCAACAGGGACGGCACCCGTTTCTCCCGGAGTAAGGTTCATTTTTTACCATAAAAATATTCCTCCTGACCAGCCAGCCCCTCCCCGCGTTCAAGGCCAGACAGGAGGCTGAGAAGCAGCCGTCAGCCCCCCACTGCCCGCCCCTCCCCCTCACAGATGGAGCCCAAAGCCAAGCCTGGGAGAGTCCGGGACGCGGTGGGTGTGGGAATGGGAGTGGGTGCGAGCCTGTGTGCGTGCGTACAGCAGGCCTGGAGATCACCCTGCAGGGCAGCCCCGTGCACACACAGCCTTCACCCTCCATCCCCCGTGTCCTGGAGAGATAGTCCAGGTAAGGGGGCACATGGGGTTGCTGAGTGGGACGAATCGGATGGTCCCAACGGGGCTGCTGGGCTCTGGAGCCTGAGATGAGGGCCGGGTGCGCCCTGGCTCCCTGCTGGGTCCTGCCATCTGTCCCCAAGGCCCTGGCTCCCTGTAGCCCCGGGGCATTCGCTCACCCTCTCCAGCCTGCAAAGCTCACCTTCCTTCCAAGGTCCTCGTGAGGCTCGAGGAGGGAAAGTGGGGAGCAGGCACAGATGGGGCGGGGGTGGGGAGGCACAGACAGTGGGGGAGGGCTTGGCGAACTCGGGACAGCCTCTGGACCACCTTCCTCGGACCTGCGTATCCTCAGACTCGGAGCTCAGTGCTCCGTGCAGGCAAGTGTGTGCATAAGGACATGCTCACACACATGCCTGTTCACCACTCCCACATGCCATACACACACAGCTCCCACTCACATGCACTGCCCAAGAGCCAGCATACGAGTGAGCTGTGCTGGCTGGCAGGGTCCTCATTGGGCACCTCCTGTCTGTCCACATGCCCCTCGGCCTCCAGCCATGGTGGGGGGGGGGGGCGTTAGTGGGCTGAGCCCAGGGCCCCATCCAAACGTGTAGGGAAACCGGCTTGGTGCTGAGGCCCTGGCGCTCTGTTTTCGTGCTCCGCCGTCTCCTCTGGCCAGTGCCTGCCCTGCGGAGGGTGGGTCAGCAGAGGCCGGCGGGGGCCAGCAGCAGGAGGTGGGGCCCAAGGTGCAGGCCTGCGGGGGAGGGGGGTCCTGTCCCCGCTCCGTGGCCCCAGCTGTGGGGTGGCCTCACCTCTGGTTTCTCATCCTGGTCAACAAGCCCAGGGGATCCACTCACTCCAGTCTTCAGGGAAACTGAGTCAGAGCCACAGCCAAGGCCCCGTCACACACACACACACACACACACACACACACACACACACACACACACACCATGGCTACAACAGTAATAGCAAAACCACAGGCAGGAACCGGGCAGCTGAAGGTGTGGGACCCGGCCCCTGAGCGTGGCTGTGGATGCCATGGAGTTACCACACGGCAATTCCACTCCCAGAGGAGCACCCAGAGGAGGCCCAGCGGGCCTCACACTCTTTCCCAGAAGCTCTGCGGGTGAGAGCGGAAGGCGGAGGCAGCCGACGCCCACGATGAACGACTGAATTAAAGACGTGGCCGCCCACTCCCCAGGTTGTCGCTCAGCCATAAAATGGAGGGATGCTCGGACCCAGGGACACACATAGCTGCACGGAGGAGCCCGGAGAACAGGGAGGAGCCGGGAGAACAGGGAGGAGCCAGGAGAACACGGA